AATTGCTTTTGCGGAAAAACTTGCCAGCTGTCTACACTGGCCACTTGAATTTCCGCAAGAACACTGACGATCTCATGTAAGAAATCAGTGCTTTTTGGGGAAATAGTATGCTGCTCCCATTTGGGCAAAAGCTTTTGCGCAAAAGGGCCAGTGTGGACAGCTCAGATTTGTTTTGCGCAAAAAAGCCCAGATTGCGAAAATGGCGATCGGGGTTTTTTTGCGCAAAAGCACGTCTAGATTGGCATGGACGCTTTTCCGCAAAAAGTGCATTTGCGGAAAAGCATCCAAGCCAATCTAGATGCTCTTTTCTGCAAATGCTTTTAATGGAAAACTTTTCCGTTAAAAGCATTTGCGGAAAATCATGCCAGTCTAGACGTAGCCTCTGTGTCCAAAAGTTTACACTCAGACAGCCACAAGACATGATACTATATGAAATCCAGAAAAGGAGTTAACATACAGCTTCTTGTACCACAAAAGCAGCAAGGTTGTTGGAGGAAGTGGAAAAAGAAGAGGTTGGAGCTGGCTGTTGACAGTGAATGGTGGGCTCCTATGATTGTTTCCTGATCAACTCAGCAGTGAGTGGCTCTGGTGTTATACAGTTGTTTATAACTTGCTCTTCTAGAATAGAAAGTGAATGTGATTTTAGAGAGCTATCTTTTTGCTAAAACTAAATTTTAAAAGGCTCCAGCAAATTAAAAAGACAGCAACCCTCTTAAGAATCAGTCTCCAAGGTTTTTCTGTTAGAGGCAAGGCTGAATTTTAATCTACTTCATGACATTCCTAGCTAACTTGATCTCGCACATATATAGATCTGTAACAGACTACGTCCTATGGATTACTCTAAGATATCAGAGTGCCTTGAAATGGGTACTGTTGACAGTGTGGGGAAGTGAGCCAAAGGGGAAAAATAGACAAGAGATGTGGATACAGATTTCAGATTTTAATCACTTGACTGAAATGTAGAAAATGAGTGTTTTTTGGGCAACTTATCATGAAAGCTGATTTTTTTCTATTAATTCTCTTTGAACTGCAAATAAATTGCTCTAAATTACATCCACTAATTATTCCTGCCTATGTTACAGAAATGATTTGCTTAGTGATATGCAAAAAAAAAATCTTAAATATTTTTAATGTATGATTTATAATATTGTAGTCAAAACCAAAGTGCTGAACGCCATTCAAGCCAGAATACAGGATGGCTCGCACACTATCTTCAACCTTTTAATGGCTTAATAAACCAAACAATGGACGTTCTAATGGTTCTTAACAGCCTCTTGTAACTATTTGCACTATCTACTCACTGTCTTTCTTCCTCCCCTACCTACCCTTCTTCCTTCTCTCCTCCTCCCTCCATGTATTTTTGTATCTGTACTTGCTATACTCCTGTCACCTGAAGAAATGGGTTTTGCCCATGAAAGCTCATGATACCATCTAACATGTTTTGTTAGTCTAGTAGCACCTTAAAAACTATATTTTTTTAAGTTGTTCCCGTTACAGACTATCTCGGCTACTCCTCTGAAACATTCAAGATTGTTAGTAAACGTGACTGCAAATCCACTGTGATATTACAGCATTTTTTAAAAAGTGGTATTAGGCTTCATTCACACTGGCCAGCACAGCCATAAGATCTGAAATCACATTAAAAACATTACTGTTGGACAGTTTCAGGACACTTAGTTAACTTGCCCATGCTATTATTATGAACAGCATATCTACCTTGAGAATTAATAGGGATTGCAGAGTCATGACTATACAAAAAAACCAACTAGTATGTACAAATGTAAATGAGAGGCCTGAAGTAGAGGTTGACAGTGTCCCTTTAACTTTTACCATTTAATGCTGAAAGCAAGGTACAGTCATTTTCATTAGTTTTCCATTTCAAATTTCTGTATTTAAATTAAAACCAAGATGACATTTGACTGTTTAGTTTTGTACATTTGACTTGAAATGTCAGCAAAATCCAGTCAAAATAGATGCATCTAACTTATCTTTCATCTTTCCTGACATGTTCAGCACAAATTCAGTAAATTAAGCGAAAACGTAATTACAATCAATAGTAAAAATGCTTTCAGATTCACTGTAAATATACAATAAAATATTCCTTTAAAATAAATAAATCTTAATTTTCTGTACATCATTAAAATTATATATAAAAGTTTACTGCAAAAAAGTACTAATTTCACTATCAAAGTAAAAACATGAAGCCCTTTACCAAAAATAGTTTATTGCACAAACCTTGTAAGGATTTCCTATGCACATTTTAATTGTGTTTTAAATTACATGCTTTGTAAGATCATTATTAGTTGTACATAGTATAATTCTTGCCTCCCCTTTGTGAAATGACAATATTTTTATAAATAATCAAATTAGACAGTAGATGACTGCAAATTACATATAAAACATGACAGCATTTGTTTTACAATATTTAGAACATGACCTCCCCAAGAAATCTGTGCATTTGTAACAGGGACAAGACAGCTCCTGAGTGAGAAGGTTCTACATGACTGGAGTGATACATGCTTTATTGGGAGTCAAATGTCATAATATGCCATCTGGCTGCCATTAATAGTTACTCTGCGCTGTCATTGCTTTCCTAATGAAAACACTGCACCCATAAAGAAAGGCTTTTGACCACTATGGGTGTGACAATTTTCACCTCACTGCCAAAATGAATAGAATGTCCATCACCAGCTTATGCATCTATTAAACCAGTAGTGAGTTTGCTATCTTTGAATCAAATTTATATTGACCAGACCAATCGTCATCAGTGCACCCTGTGAGATTGCAAATGTTTAACAAGCAGGCAAGCTAACTGAATTTTACTTATGAGGAGGAATATATAATACATGAATATATATGTCTTATACAGAATTTCCATTCTGGGAACTATACCAGATTCCTTACACACATGAAACCCCCACAGATTTCAGTAGGGGTATTTCCTGAATGAAGCATAGGGGATCAGACTGTTCACAAAAAGGCCTGAGTTGTCCACCTAATGTGATACACCAAAATTTCCAAGTAACCTGGAAGACAATGGAATTAAACTTCATGCAAAATACAACACCAAAGACGAACTATACAAGCTTCTTTCCAACATAGGTTTAAACAGACAACTGGGCAAGTTTCTTCAAAGTCAAAACCAATACATGGTTTTGAAAAATAGTGCTGCAGCCTTCATCACTTAGAAAATACTTTCACAATACAGCAACATTTGTCTTTCATCATTAAAACTTGGGCGAAAATAGCAACTACTAGGAGTGAAGAAACACACTGAAATTACATTCCATTACATGCAAAACAGCAAAATATAGATCCTTTTGAGATTATTTCTTTAGTTTCTAAAAGTACAATATCAATGAGGCACCCATTTTCTTAATTATTTATCAGTCTTCTTATACATGCAGGAGGAACCAGGCTTTTTATTCCCTCTCCTAAATTTTTACTGGCCTAGGAAATGAGTTTGGGACTGCTGAGGAGATATGAGGAGATATGCTGAGTTCAAGAGTGGAAAGGAGTACCTTTAAAAAAAATTTGCCACCTCTGAATTAAGGAAGAGGGTTGATGGGCTCTAAAGTGAAGGTCTACACCTGTGATGTGCTGAGCATCTAGAGCA